ATCGGGCTCCCTGCTCGGCAGGGAGTCTGCTTCTCCCTCTGACCCTCCCCCCTCTCATGTGCTCTCTCTCTCATTCTCTCTCTCAAATAAATAAACAAAATCTTTAAAAAAAAAAAAAGATTTTTAAAATTTATTTGACAGAGAGAGACACAGCGAGAGAGGGAACACAAGCAGGGGGAGTGTGAAAGGGAGAAGCAGGCTTCCCACCAAGCAGGGAGCCCGATGCGGGGCTCGATCCCAGGACCCTGAGATCATGACCTGAGCCGAAGGCAGACGCTTAACGACTGAGCCACTAAATAAATCTTAAAAGAAAGACATATTGTATAAATCAATAATTACAACACTGAATAATTAGGTTTATAACATAAATCGATGTAATATATATGACAATAATATACATGACAATAATACTACAAAGGAGGGGGAGGAATGTTTTTATATTTTACCAGAATTAAGTTAGTAGTATTAATTTGAAGTAGACTGTGATGAGTTAAGATGCATCTTGTAGTCCCTTGGGCACTAATAAAATAAAAAAGTAAAAAAAAAGTATAAAAAATATGAACAGAAAAATTAAAATGGCCCACTAAAAAATACTTAATACAAAAGAAGGCACTAAAGGAGAAAGGGAAGAACAAAATGTAAAGGAGATAAATAGCAAAGTGGAAAATGTAAATCTAGCCATATCAATAATGAAATTAAATGTGAATAGTCTAAACAGCCCACTCAAAAGACAGAGACTGTCAAAGGATAAAAAATCAAGACCCATACAATGAGATTCTATTTTGCAACAAAAAGTCATGAAGTACTAATACACAGTACAACTTGGCTGGACCTCAAAAACATGCCAAGAGAAGCCAAATGCAAAAGACTACATACTGTATGATTTTGTTTATACGAAATGTTCAGAAAAGGTAAATTTATAGAGGACAGTCATTGCCTAGGGCAGGAGGTAAGAGTGGAGATTTAATGTAAACAAGCACAAATGAAATAACTGGAGCTACAGAAATATTCTAAAACACAACTCTGTACTTTTACTAAAAAATCATTGCACTGTACAGTTACAATGGGTGAATTTTATGGTATATAAATTATAACTCAATGAAAGTGCTAAAAGAAAAAACAAAACGAAAACCAAGGTGAACAGAACTTGGTGTTACAAGTATCTACCTAAACTTCATACAAATATTGGAAAGTAAGGAGAGTAGGAAGATGAACTGGGTCCTAAGTGACACTGTACATTCATACACACATAAGCAATTCACTTTTTAGAGCACAGCTGTTGTGTTCTCTGCTTCAAGGTAAGGGGATGCCTTCCCTGTCCCTTAAGGACAAAGGTCACTCCCTCTTTGTGCACAACCAATTCTTACACATTCCTCTTCACTGCACCCATTACATTATACTGAAACTGTTTTGGTGTCTGCTTCCTGGACTAGACTATAAACCCCTCCAGGGCAAGGACAGTATCTTCCTCATCTCTGTAGCTCTGATGCCCAGCCAGTCCTGGGAACTGAGCAAGTATCAATGACTGTTTGTCAAATTAGTGAAAGGAAATTGGGATGTGTTTGGGGGGATTTGTACCAAACAAGTTTGAAATTATGAGGCAGACAGAGAGCCCATATTAATTTAGGAGTCAGACTAGACTAGTTTTAAAACTGGAGAAGTATACACAAGGGTATAGGTCTGTGTACCATCCCAAATTTAAATATATCTTCCTTGGGTATGGTCAAAATTCCATTTTATCCCAGGGCAATCAGTTCACAAGCAACATATTAAACTTTCCAGGATTAGTCTGCTCACCAAGCAAACAAACCATCTGATTTTACTGCAGATTACTTGACAGGATTAGCACAGAAGGCCAGACAGTTCTTGTACTTCTGGGTTAGAGTTAAGCAGCTAGCTCTGCTAAGGACTACAAAGGGGGTCACACAACCAGGTCAGGCCAGCGCTTTCCATCCTCCTCTATCTCCATCTTACCCGGGGCCAGGTCAAATGCAAAGCAAGCTGGGAAGCTTCAGCCCTGAAGTGACCCCCAGTGTACCCTGTTCTCCACAACTTCTCTACAAGCATAGGATACAAAGAAGCTGGAGCCAAAATATACCCTGGCCAGTTTTTCAGGTTCCTGGCCCCGACCTCATAAAAGAGACCCAGGTAGTAGAGATCAGACACCTAGAAACAGGGGTAAACCAGGTTGAAGATACCAAGGCCAGGAGGAACAGAGGGTAAGAAGGCCTTTGGAGTCCTTGGCAGTGTGGCGCATGAGAGAAGGCAGGCAAGCGACACTAGGGGTGGGAGAACCTGGAGACAGGGACGATGCAGAGTCAGGGAGAAAATGGTCAGGGGCTAGGAGTCTGGCGGGGAAGGTTCTGTGGGTCTCCGAGAAGGCACGGATAGGAATTTAGGTAAGAGGCACGGATAGGAGTTTAGGAAGAGCTGTGCTCTGCTGGGTGAGAATGGAAGGGGAAAAAACCCCGCGTCCTGAGTATGAGAAGGCCCTTGACCATTTGAGCGCGGAGACCTCATTCATGTGGTGCTGCGGCCTCAATTTTCAAGGGAGCTGGCCCACGGTACCCAGGCCCGGCTGAGGTGCACGAGTCAAGAAGTCCCGGGGCGCGTCACCCAAGGGGGCGGGCCGGGCGCCAGGGGGTGTGACCGGAGACCCGGGGGCCGGTCCGCGTTCCCGCCCCGCGCTTCCGCCACTCCCTGTGAGACGAGCGGGCGGGTGAAAGACTTGCTGCTTCTGAGGTCCCGGGACTCACCTTCCTCCCTCCCCACTGGTTGGGCCCCGGACACTGCTTCCCACAGGCGGCGCCCCCTCTCGCGGTCGAAGCTCAGCCCGTCCGGTTCCCGTCCTTCTCGCTCCTCGGAGTTGTTGTATGGCCGGGCCCCTCCACTGTCCGCGGCCTCCACGGTGCCCAACGCGGGATACTCCATCTTTCCTGCAAGGCCTAACCGGCAGATAGCCACTCATAAACCTTGGTCTCGCGAGATGTGGGTGGGAGGGTGACTTTGCCTGGCCAACAAATCTCGCGAGGTTTGGGCGCCGCAGACCGCGTTGCGGTGCGGGCCCAGGCGCTTCTTTTGGTCACTGCTGGGGGACCTCGGAATAAGTACATGGAATTGTGTCAGTCGCTGGTTTTACAGCAGCCCTCTCCCTCCGGTACAGGTTCGTGCAATCCTTGGCTAAAGGTTCTCACCTTACTCACCGTCAGCCTTCGACACTTCGCATTTCGTTCTCTTGAAGGCCCTGTTATGTGGGAATATTTTCTGCTTTACTGTTAGGGAAATTGAGGCCCAGAACCTAAAAATAGTTTACTCAACAGTTTGCGACCAGAATGTGGTAGAACCAGGACTCCATCTCCATGATTCGGTTACTTCTTTTTTTTAAAAGATTTTATTTATTTGACAGAGAGACATAGCGAGAGAGGGAACACAAGCAGGGGGAGTCGGGGAGGGAGAAGCAGGCTTCTTGCTGAGCAGGGAGCCCGATGCGGGGCTCGATCCCAGGACCCTGGGATCATGACCTGACCCGAAGGCAGACGCTTAACTACTGAGCCACCCGGGCGCCCCTCGGTTACTTCTGATAATAAATACCATTTGAGTTTCAAGTTCTAATTCCCAGCCCAGACCTCCCCCTTAAACTCTCCAGTGTAACTGTCAAATCTGAAATTTTATCCTCCATCCTCACAGCTCCTCCCCCAGTCTTTCTGAGCCACCATCTCTTGCTAAGGTTATCGTAGCTTCTTCACTGGTCCTTTCCCTTGCCCTTCAGGTATTTTCAGCACAGCAGCCCCAGCAGTCCTCTTATAACAAACCATATCATGATACCCTGATGCTCCCAACGGTTTCCCATCTCACTCTTGATAAAAGCCAAAGTCCTTAGTTTAGCCAAAGGGCCCTTTGCAGTTTGACTTCCCTTAACCTCCCTGATCTCATCTCCTATTGTGTTAGCCTCCAACACCTTCATTACTGTCCCAGTTACCCTGACCTCCTGGAATGCATTTCCCCCATATATCCTCATGGCTTAGCCTCTCATTTCATTCTCTGGCTACCCTATCTAAAATTTAACACCTCCACACACATTTCATGTCTTCTTTTCCTGCTCTATTTTTTTTTCCTCCTTAACTCTTAACATTATCAGATATAGTATGTTTTTACTTTTTACCTTGTTTTTTGTTTGTTTTTCCACTAGTAGGCATGCCCCAAGAAAGCAGAAGTTTTAGTTTTGTTCTCAGTTGAATCCCCAGCACCTTGAAATGGAGCCTGGCTCTCATAGGTACATATAAAATATTTGTTGAATGAATGAAACTTTTGATATACTTTATTTCATCTTCATTTATTCAAATGGTTATTCAGAGTTTACTATGAGTTAGATGTTATTTTGGGCATTGGAATCCAGTTGTGAACAAGACGGGGAAACTCTAGCATAGTGTTTTTTATTCTAGTGGAGGAGAGTGTAATAAGTCAACAGATAGTAAGAAGTGCTAAGGAGAAAATAAAACAAGAATACATATTGGGTGAATGGTGTGGAAGGAATATTAGTCAGGGTGGTTAGAGAAAGCCTCTGAAGAAATGACATTTTACCTAAGACCTGATTGATGAGAAGTGGAAAACCATGCAAAGAGCTGGGGAGGAATGTTCCAGGAAGAGGGAACAGCATGTCCAAAGTCCCTGCAGCAAGAGTGAACTTGCTGTTGGAAGAACAGGAAAAAGGACGGTATGGTTGGAGCCCAGTGAATACGGAGAAGTGGTATCAGAGGAGGCAAAAGAGAGATAGAGACAGATGTTTCTTGCCTGAGATGACACAGCTCACCAGCGGAATTTACTTATTTATACTAAATTATATACATATTATTATAATATATGTAATAACATATATATCATAAATATTATATTTATACTATATTATAAATATAATATTTATACCATAGTATAAATATTATATATTATATATTATAAATATTATATTTATACTATATTATAAATATAATATTTATACCATAGTATAAATATTATATATTATATATTATAAATATTATATTTATACTATATTATAAATATTATAAATATTGTGCATCAGCTCTGTGTCAGGCCTCATGCCTGACTCATCTATTACAATGCAATAGATGATTGATGTTTGTGCGGTGTTTTATGGTTTATGAAGCACCTTTAGCATACATTACAACATTTAATCCTTAGGTTGGTTCTCCTATGAAGGATTCTTTCTTATGTGACAATAAAGAAAATTGGGAGAGGTGAAGGTTTTATCAGGATCACACAGCTAGTCAGTGTCAGAGCCCATGGTTGAACACCAGACCTCAGACTGCAAATCCGTGTCCTTTTGTCAATACCAGATGACCAGCCTAAAAACCAATGACTATACATTATTTATTTATCTTTTTTTTTTTTAAAGATTTTATTTATTTGACACAGAGAGAGACAGCGAGAGCAGGAACACGAGCAGGGGGAGTGGAAGAGGGAGAAGTAGGCTTCCCGCCAAGCAGGGAGCCCGATGTGGGACTCGATCCCAGGACCCTGGGATCATGACCTGAGCCGAAGGCAGA